AATTCACAATGGCTTTTCCTATTAACTATGCAAAAATTCGTAATAAGGTAAAATGTGTTTATTTAATTATTAACAACAGGGGGGGGGATTATTTATTCAATTATTATTATTTGTTATTAACATTATTCACATGATTCCCGTAGTAAGTTCGTTCTAATTGGTCAATATTAACGGTCAATTGGTTGGTCCACGATTTACAATCTCACAACATTTTTTCCATTAGAATGTTCAAATGGGATAGATTCCACTTCTGGTAAAGATTTTAAAAGAATCATAATAAAGTGAAGAGCCTCACTAGTGGTTGTAGTATCACCATGGTGATATGCATGAATATTATGAAAATCATCTATATTGAGAATAATTAAATTTTCAGAATAATCGGATAAAAAATCTTCTACTGTTGATGAATGTGATTTTGCATGTTGAGTTTTATGTCTTGTGATTGTTTCACATCTTACAGTCAAACCTGCATTTGCCAATTTTTCTATTGCAGATGATGACATTCCAGATGCATCTAGCAAAAGCCCTACTTCTGCTTTCAACCCATTAATAAATTTATTATTAAGTCCTGCCAGGAAATAACCAAATGAAACCAATCTTTTTTTATTATTATCATTTGTCATATGGCTTTTGGTTTGTGGATTGGTTCCAGACACGAGTTGATCAAAAAATCCTTTTAACATTGGCTCAGACTCTTCCAACATTTCTTTAAACTTGTCAGGGTCAAGAATAGGTTTTTCTTTTAACAAACACTGTCTTGTATATAATACACCTGCCATTAATTTGATTTTTTTATTTAAAGGAACCAATTCTAACAAATTTACAGTAATTAATTTAAAAAAAAGATACCCAAAATGTAATAACAAATAAAAAAGCTACTACATACCCAACTTTGTCTCATCAAGCTCTTTACATATTTCATAATATGCTGTCTCTAATTCTTTAAATTCATTTTCAGAGTAAATAATGTCATTACGTAATGCATAAAACCTACCTTGAAAATTTTGTATAGTTTCCTTTGATAATGGTAATGGATAATCAGGTGAACCAATATATTCCAGATCATTATCAGTCCTATATACACAGTGAGTCTCGATTTAGCGGATTTAGGGGTTTAACGGATAAATTTTCAAAACCAAATTTTTCTATAATTATTTTACCTCGATTT